GTATTCATTTATTTAACAGGGACAGTGCACATTAATTAACATCTCTGTAAATGTGCCAGAGTTAGCCAAGAGGCTATTTTTCATCTGTAGTCCCTGGACAGATTTTAAAAGTCAACCTAAAACACATTTCATTTTAAACAAGTAAATACAATACATTTAAAACATGCAACACACATTACTGGAATACTTAAATAAAACAATTTAAAAGTCAGAACAATAAAACAAAAAAACAAAAACAAAACAAGAGCATGTTAAAACACATGCAGTGGGTTTTAAGGACCAGATGATTGTGTCAGCTGATTCCTCACTAACACTTGAGTATTAAGACAACTGAATGGTAATCTAAGCTACAAATATATAAATACATTATTTCTTTCACTTCAACAGATTCAGTGTGATGACTGTGAGCGATGGTACCATGCCCAGTGTCTGGCAATGGACAGCAGAGACTTTAAAAAGGCAGAGACAGGATATTGGAAATGTCCTTTGTGCAAGTAATACTTGAAATGTGCTCAATGATGACGATTAGTAAAACATGTGTCCTGTGTAGCCTTGTTTGTATTACTTTCTGATAATCACTGGATCACATGACAGGGAAGCTATAGAAAAAACCCTGAATTTTCCATAGAAATATTAATATTAAATAGAGGATGTAATATTATCCGATATAAAGAGCTGTTTCTATTGTGTACAGACCAGTATTCAATTCAGAAAGTGATTTTGAGTCATTAGATATTGAAGAAATAAGCTAAGCTAAGATAATAAGCTAATTTACAATAAAAAGAGGTGTGTCCTATGCAGCCAGTGTAGTTCTTTGAGCCAGCATTGATTTTGAGTGATTAGGTCACATGACCTGGAAGGTATTGAAGAAATAAGCTCATTTTTCCATCAAAATATTAATATAAAATATTTAAAGTATTAAAATGGAATAAAAAGAGGTGTGTCCTATGCAGCCAGTGTAGTTCTTTGAGCCAGCATTGATTTTGAGTGATTAGGTCACATGACCTCGAAGGTATTGAAGAAATAAGCTAATTTTTCCATCAAAATATTAATATAAAATATTTAGAGTATTAAAATGGAATAAAAAGAGGTGTGTCCTATGCAGCCAGTGTAGTTCTTTGACCCAGCATTGATTTTGAGTGATTAGGTCACATGACCTGGAAGGTATTGAAGAAATAAGCTCATTTTTCCATCAAAATATTAATGTAAAATATTTAGAGTATTAAAATGGAATAAAAAGAGGTGTGTCCTATGCAGCCAGTGTAGTTCTTTGAGCCAGCATTGATTTTGAGTGATTAGGTCACATGACCTGGAAGGTATTGAAGAAATAAGCTAATTTTTCCATCAAAATATTAATATAAAATATTTAGAGTATTAAAATGGAATAAAAAGAGGTGTGTCCTATGCAGCCAGTGTAGTTCTTTGAGCCAGCATTGATTTTGAGTGATTAGGTCACATGACCTGGAAGGTATTGAAGAAATAAGCTAATTTTTCCATCAAAATATTAATATAAAATATTTAGAGTATTAAAATGGAATAAAAAGAGGTGTGTCCTATGCAGCCAGTGTAGTTCTTTGACCCAGCATTGATTTTGAGTGATTAGGTCACATGACCTGGAAGGTATTGAAGAAATAAGCTAATTTTTCCATCAAAATATTAATATAAAATATTTAAAGTATTAAAAATGGAATAAAAAGAGGTGTGTCCTATGCAGCCAGTGTAGTTCTTTGAGCCAGCATTGATTTTGAGTGATTAGGTCACATGACCTGGAAGGTATTGAAGAAATAAGCTAATTTTTCCATCAAAATATTAATATAAAATATTTAGAGTATTAAAATGGAATAAAAAGAGGTGTGTCCTATGCAGCCAGTGTAGTTCTTTGACCCAGCATTGATTTTGAGTGATTAGGTCACATGACCTGCAAGGTATTGAAGAAATAAGCTAATTTTTCCATCAAAATATTAATATAAAATATTTAAAGTATTAAAAATGGAATAAAAAGAGGTGTGTCCTATGCAGCCAGTGTAGTTCTTTGCGCCAGCATTGAGTTTGAGTGATTAGGTCACATGACCTGGAAGGTATTGAAGAAATAAGCTAATTTTTCCATCAAAATATTAATATAAAATATTTAAAGTTTTAAAATGCAATAAAAAGAGGTGTGTTCAATAAATGTATGCTCTAGAGTGAATTTGCTTCACATTCACACGATCGAGAAGCTGTCGATTTATTAAAAATAACATTTTTCTTGTGTAATTGTAAAAGTCATTTGTTGATGGTCCCTAAGTGAAAGCCTCGTTTCGCAGAGAAGATCTCCCCGTTAAACTGACGCTGCTGGCGGGTCCGGGAAACTGACGCTGCTGGCGGGTCCGCGAATGTCCGTCGAATATCCAACCTAAAACTAACTTCACCGCGGTAAGCACGTGGGCGTCCATTTTAGGTTATGGCCTGGAAAAGGGGGCGGTTAGGATTAGCGTTTGATTGAGGGCGAGAGAGTATCAGGCAGTGACCCCTGAGGGGCCATCGGAGAGTGTTAGAAATTAAAATCAATATTCAATGACGTAATTACGCACAGTAAGCTTTGTCGTAGCAGTTGATACCCCCTCTGGCACTGTATGCAAAACCATCTCACCCTACAAGACAGTGAGATATACACAGACACAGTATGCAAAACCTCACCCCCTAAACGCGTCTGTTGATCACACATACATTTAAGATTCACTCTCAGAGAGATGACCTAATCAGAGAAACTAAGACAATGAGAAAGAGGAGGGAAGTTCCCTCCCTACGTCACCGCCCACCATTGATGAGGAGGAGTCACCACTGAGATATAGAGAGAGGTGACGGAGCTCTGGAGACTTCTTCTTCTCCACCACGAGACTTCACCCCTTCACCCCGGCGAGGCAACAGCTGCTCTGTCTCTCCTATTACCCTCTGCTTGTTGTATCATCGTGCCATTTAATTAAACTCAACCAATTTGAACCTTTTCGGAGACTCCATTAGTCTCTTCATTCTAAGCTTCTCTCCTGGGCGCGAGAACAACGAATACTTCTAACAAGAGCCAACCTACCCCAGAAATGAGAACATGGGGCACTGGCTGTGTTAGGGAATAAGAGGCTTGGATCCTACTGCCGGGGAGTGTAAGATCGAGTGCTCGGGCCATCCTTGTTCACCACCGAGGCAGGCCAACTCTCACCTTAGGCCCCAAGAAAAATGTAATTACGTTGAGTGATAGCTATCATAGTAGTGTTTTTACTATCAATCACATATAACAATTCTAATACACATCCTCAGTAGTAAACCCAGGAGTCATTGAATGTTTCTGCTTATTATTAAACAATCTCCCCCAATGTAGCTGTGCGTGAGTTTTCAGCATTCAGGATTCTTCATCAAAGTAGCATGTAGCTGTGCGTGTGCGCTTTCAGTATTCAGGATTCTTCATCATAATTCTTCATCATTGTAACATGTAGCTGTGCGTTTGTGCTTTCAGCATTCAGGAGGATATCAGAGACGAGTAAGCAGGAGAGATGCCTTCGCTGCCATGCATCAGGACTGAATGAGCCAAAAAAGGGCTTCTGCACTCTTTTATATATAGGTGTGGGAGGAGCTTATTTGTCTGTGAGTTTCGTGAAGCTACCGTATGTTCCCGTAAGCAGGTAAGTTGCCATGTATTTTCTTAACCCTATGTTGGACCTTTGTAACCCCAATAAAATGTTCATTCCAAATTGTTATGTTGTCTCCTTATTTATTTACAATAGAGAACCGCAGTGAAAACCCAGAAGTAAACTTCTTCCGGTTCCTTCGACAAAAATGCAATGCAATTTCTCCATAGGATTTTGGAAAATAGCTTGAAATAAGGTCTGTGGTTGACACACATTTAAGAGACGGATCACGTTTTGTTTAGTCGGATAATCTCCACATGTCTACTGTTAGAAGTATTCGTTATTCTCGCGCCCAGGAGAGGAGCTTAGAATGAAGAGACTAATGGAGTCTCCGAAAAGGTTCAAATTGGTTGAGTTTAATTAAATGGCACGATGATACAACAAGCAGAGGGTAAGGAAAAGACAAAGCCGGTGATGTCTCTCGTGAGGCTGCAGCGAAGACAAGTCCCGTCTTGTCCTCCCCGATCTCCTTTATCTCTTCTCGTTCTCTCCTGCTGTGCAGATAGGGGGAACGCCCTCCTCGGTATTCAATCGACATCGCGTGAAACAGAGGATTTCGACATTTTGTATTCCTTGCTTACTTCCTTAAGTCTTTTCTCCTCTTTATCTCTTTCTTGACTTTTTATTTACGGTAATACTTTATAAACAGCTGTAATAGTTTAGAAATCCTAGAAACACTTTTACGGCACAGTTCTCATTAACTCCTAACGTCATAGCTACCCACGTATGTGAAAACAATAAAACAGCTTTTAAACTGACGATATATTTTAGACTAAATTATGCTATTAAACATTGATTTTAATTTCTAACACTACCCATCTTTTATAATTTTCTAATCATAAATCTAATCGATAGATTTATGATCGATAGATTTATGATTCGTCTCAGAATCAACCTCATTTTAATGAGTTTCTGTCTCTGACAAAGAGGTCATAAAATAAAGGAAGATTCCCGGACATAAAAGTCAACTCTGCTTTACATTTCTCGTATAACATTCATACACAAACATATACTGTAAGTATATAAGGCAAGCAACCAGGTGAATGAAGACATTTGAGTTTTTCTGGGATTGTGGATATGACAGATAATTTTGAGGAGTGTCTCTGTTTTTTATGTTATATATTTTTCATATCTGTGTCATGCAGTGTGGGTCTCTCACTTCTGTCGTCAGGGCACAGACTGTAGAGGGCTCTTTGGTCTTGACTTGGTCTCGGTTTAGGGGGTTTGGACAACAACAGTACTGCTAAAGTGTTTGTCTTATAGTGTCTGTAGAAAACGTTGTTATGGTAATGAATGCCTCTTGTTCATGTAACCAAGCAAAAATAAACACAAACAATTATATAAGTTGAGTCAACACACTTATTTATTAATATGTAATGTTGAAACGTAATGCAGTGGGTGTTTTACAGTGGGCTTCACTGAGCATAGAGCAGAAATCCACTGAAAATCATGCGATTATACAAATCACAATAAACGTTGTAGCTGGAGGGCAGAACAATGTTGGCAACATCTCCCTTCTCCAGCTGAAGAACAATTGAGTTAGCCGCAGAGACATAGCCATAGGCATCATTGTAATCTTGAAGCCTCATCTTCATCACGTTGTTGAGAGCGAATTCAAGAGCGGTATCTGATACAAAGCGGCTTCCCCACATGTTGAAGCTGAAGTAGTAGACTCCTTTGATGGGGGCTGTGAAGATACCTGCATCAGAGGAGAAGGTCAGTGAGGGGAGATTGTTTCTGGTGCTTCAGCAGGACTTAAGGATGTTTTTTTTTTTAAATAAGGAGCATGTAGGAGCTCTTGACTTTGTTCTATTTTCTACCATGATCAACTGTAGGAAAACTAAGAGATGTTTTAATGGTTTCATTAAGAAAACTCTTAAGAAAGCTTACAGTCACACATCTACTGTAAATTAACGTTAGCGTGTGTGTGTGTGTGTGTGTGTGTGTGTGTGTGTGGTGTGTGTGTGTGTGTGTGTGCTCAGTACCTGTAGTTGGGCTGTAGGCCTGGCCGATATTGGTGAAGACTTTACTGTACTTCAGTATACTGTTAGTGCCGAAGGGTCCGACTACTCCTGCATCACTGAGACCGGCTGAGAACGCCACCTGAGGACCGGCTGTGAGAAAGAGGAGGATGCAGCAGAGTTTGATATTTGCTGGTATATCAGTATACCAGTTCTATTCTTATACAATACTTTGATTCTTCATAATAGTTTCTGTTTCTTACCTCTTTCACTGAAGCTCATCTTGGTCTCTAGAACTGAACACATTTTAAAATTGTAAAAAATAAATGGTCAACATTTGTCTTCAGTGTTTTTCATTTTTACAAACCGCGCATTCAAGAATTGTTCTACCATACTAAAATGTGCACTTTTTCTCTAGACCGCTTTTTTGCCTTTTAAAAATGGGAACAGATTTAGTTTTTATGAAAAAACAACAACTTTGTATTTTCTCAATGTTTTCTACCTGTGCTCTTATTCTCACTTGCTGAGACTCTATCCAGGAGATCTGCAATACAAAAAGAAGCTCATTATCTGACAAACAACCACACGTGATTTCTTATCAGTATGTTCATCTGATTTTGTTCACATCTCTTTTCTCACTTTTGTATTTTACACAAAATTATGTGTTTGTATCTTAACATTCAAAACATTTCCCTTTTTATGAAGTTTCTGTTTCTTACCTGCATTCGCTCTCTTGAGCTCCTCCACCTCCTTCTCACTGGAGCTCATCCTGGCCTCTAAAGCTGAACACATTTAAAAATTGTTATTAGTATTATTGTAGATGTCACCGTGGAGCTCTGTCACAAACATTATTGTACATCAACATATAAGTAAGCATATTATGTAAATATTTACCTGCTTTCACTTCTTGGATATCAAAGTCCCCCTCTTTCTTCCCTGTCCCCCCTCCATCCTCACCCTGAGCCCCCGTCCAGAGCAGACAGAGCAGCAACGCCAGACAAACTGCAGTTCTCCTCATTCTGAAATATCGCTGTTCAGACAGAGAAGTGTAACACGTCTCGCTCTGTTCCCGTCTTTATATCCACCTTAAACAGGTCACGAGGCCGTGAGAATCCAGCAGATGTCTTTGATAACAAACGTGAAAAACATCCAAACGTCCTTGGACATTAACCTGATTTTAAAGGAAACAACAACTTGAATTTTGTCCTTGAACATAGCTTATTATGTATGCTTTCAAAAGTAACATCTTTAATGGCTAAACTGCATTCTTTCATATTTGTTCTCAGTGTGTAAGGGTTGTTTTCCTAGACTTGTATGAAAGAGGAAATACTATGCTCATTTCCAGGTTCATATTAATAATAATAATAATAATAATAGTAATAATAATAATAATACATGTTATTTATATAGCGCTTCTCCTGGTGCTCAAAACGCTTTACATATCAGTATGTAGTGTCTCTACTGTGACATGTCTCCATGCTTTAATGTTCAAAAAGCTCTTTATTTTTCTCATACTGCCTGTGCTGGTGCAACACAGTCTCACTCCCTGAACGTCCAGGAGCGACGCTTGGTCGCAGGAGTCTCCTTCAGCTTCATAAACGGACGCAAAGAGCTTTCAACTGATTGCAATGTATTCCCATCGGCGGCGGTATTTGACGCTCAGGGAAGCACCGCATCGGTCCATGTCGGCAGCACTTAAAGGCAATGTGAGCGTCCATTCCCATTGGATAACGGAGGATTTTACACCCGGAAGTAAGTATTCTCTTTACTGTCGATTACAGTGATATCTGCACTACTCATCAACTCAAAATCACCAAATTATCCTTGTTAATTACACAACATTGATTGGTTTAAATTGTGTACAATGCTTTTGTATTTTCCCCCTTCGATTCGGAGAAACAAATATTTTTTCGGAGTTTAGGATGGCAGAAGACACTACACTACCCAGAATCCTCAGCTATCGTTTGGGAATACACCATGTGCTTCGCTCGACAAACCCCGTGATTAGTCCTCAAGCTCTGTGATTGGATGTTGGAGTGGCAGTGCGAGAAGTTTACACGGAGCGTCAAACAGCACTTTGAAATGGAATGAATCCCATCGACGGCACACTGTTCAAAACAGGAATCGAACGTGTCCTTACACCCCCCCCCCCCCCCTTAGGTCACAGGCTCCTCCAACAGTGCAACACAATAAAACAGATACACAGAAAAAATAGTGCAAGTAAATACAAAAAGAAAAATAGTAAAATAGTAAATAGTCCAATAAGAGTCTATATACAAGTAATTGGAACTCCACATAAAGTCAATACACAGATGCGTTTTACATCAATCTCACATCATTATCGAGCTGCTTTGAATTGTTTTTGCTCATTGATGAAGGCGGTCTGTCTCTGACCCCACAGTGCAGCCGACAGCCTGGGCCCTGTGTGGGGGGTGCACATCTGGCACGACAACTCTGGACCCTCCCCGAGCTGGAACATCAAACACCTGGACGTGTCCGAGGTAAAGAATGACATTACCACACACATCCTTTACCCCAGGGGTGTCCAAAGCTTTTTCACCGAGGGCCACATACAGAAGAATATACGAAGAGCTGGGCCACTCGCTAGAGGAGAGGTATATCGCCTCATAGGTTCAGTTATAAGTTGGAAAAATCTATTAAATGTAGGTAAATTATTCTTGATACTTGAAAATGCTTATAAGAAAGAAACAGCCCATTTGTTGGCCATATTTCTTTATACTTTTTTTATTTGCTGAGGGCCGCATTTGGCCCCCTGGCAGTAGTTTGGACACCCCTGCTTTACCCCCAGTTTCCTTCATTTCTGAAATACAAATGAGTTTTTCTCGGTGAAGGTAGAATCCAAAAAACTGAGAAAATTCTCGACGTATTTCCTGTGGGTGAATTACGGCAGTATGTCACAACACTAAAACTATATAAACATCAGTTTACAAACTCTTGCACAATTTAATTTATCCTGTAACTACTTCACAAACACGTGCAATTTCTCCTCACTGTTTTAAGGCCGCTACACACCCACCTGAGACCAAAGAACGCGTACCGAAGGCGTCCCGACTTTTACGTCAGCTACATCGCCTGCGTCGGCTACGCCGCCCGCTACGCCGCCCGCCTACAAACACACCGCAAATACTTCAGTCGACGAGTGGCAATAACTGTCCTTACCAGCAGGCAGCGGTAGTGTGAACAGCCAATCAGAGTGATTGCTTGGGCCGACTTTCTCTGACCTCCCGCGGGAGGTGTGAAAAGGTGCCGTAAAGAGACAACGGTGCGCAGCGGGACACACCAACCTGAGTAGGGCGCCGCGAATGCCCGACTGCCTCTCACGGCCTCTGACTCCCAAAATCGGGTTGGTGTGTAGCCAGCTTTAGACCGTTTTGCATGAACAGTTCTGACATTTTTGCAGGCGTGTTTGAGAAATATATACGAGCATACGACTGGATAAATGAGAGTTGGATTGTACTCCAAGTTTTCCGTTTTTGTTGGATTCTTCATTTTTCATGGAGGCATTCCCAGGCTCCACCAACAATGCAACATTAATAGATATAAGGCATAAAACAATAACAATAAAATAGACCAATGTGCAAATAATGCAGGAGTAGTTCACTAAATACAAGTAAATATAATAAGATGAGCTAAATAGTCTAGTTGTCAGCTGTTGTTAACCCGGAAATGTACCCTAAAGTTTTATGTTAGAAATGTATTTGTATTGGACAGATTGCCTATTTATTTGAAAAAGAATTGTCCACAGTAGAGGTAATCATTTCCATCTTGTGCTCTCTGCATCCAATGGTGGCAACAATACTCATGGTAGTCAAAATCAGCTCACAGAGAGTACACATATGGCCACTTTCTGGTTCAAACTGCCATCATTGATCCTGAAAATCCCCCCAAAATCACTCCAAATCGGCCACATAATTGTTTTACTTTTGTTTACATATGCTATAATGCCATTCATCTTAATTAACTCAACTTATGCTAATTGTTCAAAACAAATGCAAGTTAGCATCCGGCAGTTTCTATGTACTGGGGACCCTACTATACATTACTATCATAACACTTTGGGGTACTCAACATTTCAGGGTTAACTAGAATGTAAAATGAAATGCTGTACAGTGAATTTAAATACTGCTTATTGTAGTAATAGATAAACATGTGAGATGAACAGATGATATGAAGTTGTGAAGGCACAGAGCTCAGGAGTTCATCAGTCTTATGGCCTTTGGGATAAAACTGTAACACAGGATCAGTCATTGATATGCAAATGTTGTTCTCTGGGTAAAGTGCTGGGGATTTGCGTGGACTTTCCTTTTGAATATGGTTTGTTTTCCTTCTGTTTCTTAATAACCCAGGTGAGCAGAGGGCAGCTGAAGGGACGTGCGTGGCTCTTTGTGGCTCAGTGCTGGTTGGCTGTGAACCAAAGTGACGGGCGGGTGGAGAGGATTCTGGGAAAATGCACTCGTGGAATAGGCTTTTTTAAGGTACAGAGTTCTCATACACATACACTCAGATACAAAAAACAAATATTAATATGTTCCCCCCTTGCAGACGCTGAGTCTCAAGCTATCAGACTATTTGGCCGATTTCCACATCTGGATATCTTTGTACAGCTGCCCCTGCCCCAACGCGTTCACACACACTCAGAGACTGTGTGTGAGCCTGCTGCTTCTGCTGGGATATTCATGTGTCAGCACCCTGATCATATCACAAATGGATGATCAGGTTGGTTAATAAAACCTATAGAGTTTAATATTTAGAGCCCCAAGAGTGTCCAAAACATTTTAACGCTGATCCGTTGTTTGCGTTGTCCTGAACACTATTATGATCATCTGACAGATAAAAGAAATGGAGACTATCGGAGGAAAAAGAAAACTCTTTATATCTTTATTCCCACAACATGGTGAACCCTGTCTGACTCTAATTATTGTGTTTTCAGGGCACAGATCTGCCATCAGTGTCCCCTAAGATTCTGGTAAATAAAATCACGGATAAAGAACCTGAAATCACAACACTTTGCAGTTTGTTGCTCATTAACGAGGGGGACAATGCCAAGGGAGGAGGATTCAGATCTCACTGGGGGTCTCTACCTGGCCTGGACTTTGTGTCTGCTGATGTCCCTCTGCTGCCTGGTGCTCTCTGCAGTGCTGGGGATGAGGTAACAGACATCTGGAGGATTGTGAAGTGGTGTGGATAATGCTGACTGATTTATTATCAATACTGACTCTTTAAAATGTCTCAGAGTCATAATGTTTATTGTTGGGAAAATACTGAATGTACTTTTCCAATATGAGAGTAACATGATAACAAAGGTATCCCAACTGTAGCTGTGTACATGACAGGATGTATGATTACCTAGAAGAGCATCAGGACTGTTTTAGGCATATGATAGCTATGTGATTAACATGATGATTCAGCCTCTATGGAGATAGACATATGACAAGCAGGATCATTTCTGACGTGGAGCTAATCTGAACGAAACATTGAATACTGCTTTCTATTCCTCCATCTTGTGACTGTGTAACTCCCTCTCTTGTATATCAGCATGTGAAGGACACTGTTCAGGAACTAGTTGTACCAAAAAAAAGGTCGCCTATTATACTGTTTTTCATCAATATCTTTTAGGTCTCAGATATATACAAACATGTCTCTGAAGTGTTTGGCTCCAAATACCAAACAGATCATTGCAGCATCCCATAATCCCCTCTGTTTCAGCCCTGTTTCAAAAGTGCTGATTCTCTGTCTGTTACTTTAGATGAAAATAAGGAGCCCCTCCCCACGCCCCTCTGAGAGAGATTTGGTTACAAAGAACACAGCTGACAACCAGACTATTTAGCTCATCTTATTATATTTACTTGTATTTAGTGAACTACTCCTGCATTATTTGCACATTGGTCTATTTTATTGTTATTGTTTTATGCCTTATATCTATTTATGTTGCATTGTTGGTGGAGCCTGGGAATGCCTCCATGAAAAATGAAGAATACAACAAAAACTGAAAATTCTTGAATGATTTAAAAAAAAACTCTCAACAAACTTG